CAGAAAGGGCTTCCTGGCGAATTATGAACTGATACGATGACCTGAGTTTTTATCCCTGATTCTCTTTACTACACCTTTTTCTTTACCAATCATTGCTGGCGCCTCATCAGTTGGGAGCGACACCATTTTAAGATAACTAGCTATATATCTATATCAGCAGCTAAAATTTTCGTTTTTCGTGTATTACTTCTCGCTGATAATGAAATACTTTGAAATGCAGCGACATCTTTTAATTCTTCAACATACAACTCCTTCACCATTTCAGAATCTGAAAATGGTTTCTGGTGTTTATTAGGCGTCCAGCATACACGTAACGCTGCTTCTGTGCAGCGTTGTTGTTTCGTAGTGTTGCTTCAAATTGCCACTATTAACAAGAGCGACAGTTTTATTGCTTATAAGAAACACTGGAACCACTTGAGGCCTATCATGCAGCGTAAAACAGTATTATTCAGTCAATTCTGCCAGAAACCTCCTATTTTCACTGTACACTTTACGCTTTTTAGGATCCATTTTAGCGTAGATACGAAAATATTATGAAAACGCGAAAAATCACAAAACAAATGAATGGTTGCTCCGCGGTTTGCGCTGCGACTGACAGTCNCAATTGAAGGCTTTGAGTTAAAACCGACCTTGTGGCTACATTACGTGGATGACACCACATGAGAGAGATGCTATAAACCTGTTCCTAGACCACTTGAAGGCGCAACACTTCGGCATCTAGTTCACTATGGAGACTGAACAGGACCAGCAGATATCATTCCTAGATGTACTCATCAAATGATGTGGTGCTCGACTAACCAGTACCGAAAACCTACGCACAAGGATAGGTAACTGCATCAAACCACCCTCCTAGTCAAAATATCGGAGTTACCTTTACTCTAACTGAACGGGCTCGATAAATATGTGAACCAGAGCATCTAGAGGAAGAACTAAAACTTCGGGATCGAGTGAATACAGTGTACCCGAGATCAAAAAGGCTACGAAACTGAAGAGTTTCATGGTTTAAAAAGGAGAGGAGGCTCAAGAGGTTGTACGTGCTAATCCACCATATACCCCAGGATTGCAGACAGAATTGGAAAACTTTTGGGAAAACACAACATTGAAACGGTTTTGAAACCTACCAAGAAGATACACCAAAGCCCCAGGTCGGCTAAAGACAAAAGAGACCCACTATCAGTAGTAGGAATACACAGTGTGTGAAAGTCAAATGGAATAAATTCATTATTTCGGTTACTGTACATATTTTTAAAAAATCTCGAAACGCAAATGTAAATTATAATTTGACAGTTTTCAACGTAAAAATTCCACCCCTACCACCCATTTTTCAAATGTACAGTATAGGTTTATGATATATCGTTTGAAAGTTATCTTCATTCATATTGCAACAATTAAGATGAAATGTAATGCAAAACGTAATGAAATGTAGATTACGAAAAAGAACTATAGATGTTATCAGAGCAGATGTTCAAAATGTTCACCGCAAACATCTTGGCAACATCCTGATCCAAAATAAAACTGTCTTCTAACATTATTTAACATATCAGGCGTGACAGACCTAATCGCAAGCGTTATTCGTTCTTTTAAGTCATTCAAATCTGAAGGTTTAGTTTTGTGAACATTACCCTTTACATATGCCCATAACAATAAATCTAATGATGAAAGATCAGGTGATCGCGCTGGCCATTCAATTGATCCTCGCCTCCCTATCCATCGATTGGGAAATATTGTATCGAGGTATTGCCGAGGTATTAACTTGGTAATATGGTGATGTACCAGTACCACACTGCTGAAACCATATCGTATTCACTGGAACTTGGAGGTTTCCTGGATCAGGATGTAAAGTTGCTAAACTTGGAATGATATCATTTTGAAGTGGTCAAATAGTTATCTCCATTCAAGTTGCCCTCAATGAGAAAGGGACCATTGATACGGTTTCCTACAATCCCTGCCCAAATATTAACCTTTTGAGGGTATTGCCTGAGTTCTTCTCCCATTGAGGATTTTCCGTTGACCAGTAGCGACAATTTTGCCGATCAGCATGACCGTCAAGAGATAAAGTATACTCATCAGAAAACATAACATCATCTAATTGGATGATATTGTTATACAACATGTTCATCATTTGTTCACAAAAACAAGTTCGTCTATCAAAATCGTCTTCCACGAGCTCCTGAGTGGGTATCATTTTATAGGGATGCATTTTATTTTCCTTCAATGTTTACTATCGAGGTATGGCTAACATTGAATGTAGTGGATGCCTGTCTACTCGATATATGTGGATTTTCCTCACACTCAAGCATCACATTTATTCTAGTACATACTACTTTTAGTATGTGATGATGTCTACCGAAGAGGCAGACGAAATTTCAGTAATGAAAATCTTCTAGCACCGACAAACAAATCCGGAAAGTAGTTGTGACATTGATTCTTGTATTATGAGATGAACGATTTTCCTATACATATTATTAAATCGATTCGAAAAATCACATAGGAAATTCATTACATTAAAATAACAACACGTGTTTCATAATACAATAGCTTTCTTAGGCGTGTTTGTATGCCTTAGTCGTGTTTGTACGCCAACAAACTCGAATGAAAGCTGTGACACTGATATCTTTTATTATAGGATGAATGGTTTGTCTACACATACACACATACAATATCTTCCTTTGGCGTGTTATTACTATTAAACCGTTGTGTTAGACATGTACATGAAAAAGTATAAACATGCTCATGAAAGCTAGTGTGTTAGACGTGTTCATGCTGAGTATAAACACGTCTAAGGAAGCTATTGTGTTAGACGTGTTCATAGAGTATGAACACGCCCAAAGAAGCTATTGTGTTCGACCTGTTCGTACTAAGTATAAGCACGCCCGAGGAAGCTACAGTATTGGGCGTGTTCATACTAAGTATGCTGAGGAAGCTATTGTGTTAGACGTGTTCATACTGAGTATAAACACGTCTAAGGAAGCTATTGTATTCGACCTGTTCATGCTGAGTATAAATACGCCCGAGGAAGCTATAGTACAGTGACTCACCCAGTGTGGTTTGGTGCAATGTTTTGTAAGAATCTCTCAATAAAATATGACTTGGATTCGTTATGGATTTTCATCAAATCGACGAGTTTATATTGGATAATTTAAGGAATAACAAATGTAAACAACGATGTGCCCCAGGTACTGAGCTCTACATTTTTCATCATCATTTTTCAAAATGTGCAAAATGGACCACTGATACAAGTTTTTCATGATACAGTAGCTTCCTCGGGCGTATGCACATGTTTGAGGAAGATATTCACGTTTACGTTCGACATGATCTGGATTTTTCCTTAATAATAAAGATAATAATGAATATGCTTTATTGTCCAAAGAAAAACTCTTATTGACAAAGCTTTGGTGAACATTTTATAGTCAAGTGCATGAAATCAGAATATCAGCTAGTAGATTGACAAAAATATCTAGAGTCCTATCATAAAAATGAAAATAAAAATTTTGAATATCACATTTTTTGAAAAACATTGGTTATATACCATATAAATGCAATATAAACAAATATAACAAAATAACATATCTACATAAAACATATGTGTATATTCATATATATACATACATACATATAGACACATATATACATACATACACACACATACACATACAAACACAAAAATAATTAAAAAAAATAATGTATAAAAACAAATGTGTATAAAATATGATTAACAGGTATCGTCATAAAATTCTTGCGAACTATAATAGGGCCTCTCGATAAGAAAATCCTTCATAGATTTTCGAAATTCAGTACCGTTTACTACGCATTTCAGGTAGCTGGGAAGATGATTATACATCTTCAGACCATTATACAATGTAGAATTTTCAGTTGAAGTAGTGTTAGGTATGGGAAGACTTGAATTTGGGGTCTGTCGTGTGGTGTAATAAGAGACAATAGAGGGAAGTTCTGTTCTATGTTTATGCAACGAACTGTTTCTAGAATAAATAGAGCATACATTGATGAAATTCAGTTTGCTACAAACAAAGGCCTACAAGAATCTCGCCGCCTGGCTCTACAGAGAAATCTCAATGGCCTTTTCTGCAGAATAAAAATCGATTCGAGTCGAGTTTGATCACTTACCTCCCAGAAAGGGATCCCATATCTTAGATGTGATTCTACTAATGAATAATAGGCAGTTTTAGCTGCAGTTTGTCCTAGTTCGTTAGAAGTTATTTTCACAGCATAACATCGAAATGAAAGTTTTTTGTTAAGAGATGTGGTCCTCAAATATCAACTTATTATCAATTAATAACCCAATCATTTGTTGCATGACGTATTTTCAATCACATTCGAATTCGAACCTAGAGGAATACTATCAAGAATGCAATTAAAGGATAGAACTTTGGTTTCTGAGACATTGAAAGCTGATAAACTTGCCTTACACCAATCTGAAAGATTGGAAATATCAGAGCAAATGGCATTATATTGATCATTTGTGTTGGTATCGCGCCATAATATTGTAGTGTCATCGGCGAATAAAGTAAATTTACCCTCTATATCAATGGTAGTCAAGTGATTGATATAGAGTAGAAATAGGGTAGGTCCGAGTACTGAGCCTTGTGTTACTCCGTTAGATATGTCGGAAACATCAGATACTGTTGTATATTTGATTCTTTGACATCTATCTCTCGATAAGAATGTGTGAAAATGAAGGGTAAATGAGGAGCAACGGCGTTGAGTTAAGTACTTTGTGAGTTATAAAGATTGAGCTCGTTACATGATTGTGGGCCAGGAAGTACCTGGCCTGGCTTAGAGATAGTGATAGATATCACAATCTATGAAGCATATGTTTCAAGTTTGAAGACCCTGCGTTGTTCGGTATTTGTTTGACAGCCATCACTAGCGAAAGTTTTCGGGGAATTTGTGAAAAATGAAAGCTGAACTAGATTCTACTCTGGGTGATTAGATTGAAGCATTTGAATAGATATAATATTATTGAACTTCGAAAAACTCACCTGCCAAGCACCAATGTCTTTCACTTTTCTACTCATAGGCCTCTGGAACACCTTACACAGTTTGAAAGCATCAGCTCTGATTTCAACAACGTTATTCAATACCGCCCATAGCGCAGCAATGGGGTAGACTGACGAGAATAGAAAAACGTATCCAAATTGAATGAATAGTTCCAAATAGTCATCGTACGTCCCTTCATAAGCCTCCATTTCCCCTTCTTGGATGGCTTGTTTAACGCGGGGATCGTCCTTCTGAAGTTGCGGAATCTTTACATCAGTAAGCGGATTATTTTCTTCTGAAGCATTTTCTTTGAAAACTTTCGGCTTCTTCATGCTAGACGGTTTATCGAAAATTCTCAATTTCCAGTTTTGAACCTGAAGATATAATTAATGATATTCAGGAAAATATGGCTATTAACTTGAGTAAGCAGCTTTAAAGTTGCAGAAAATAGAACAATTGGCAAAATATCAGGTTGTTTCAAAAGTCTTGTCCGTTTATATGATTTTACTTCAATACCAGGCTCCTCAAATTCTCGTCCTGAATTACTATAGGTCGACCACTTCGAGGCTCAGTGCAAAAGAGGCATAAATGTAAAATTTAGAAATAAAAATGAACAATATACAGTAGAAAATTATCTATCGATCAGTATACACGACACAGTATAATAAATATTTGAATTAGAAGGGTTATATTTTCAGAAGTGACTAATTTTTGGAAAAGGAAGTTTTTGGCTTCCTAATACTCCATTTTGATACAAAAAGTCTTTCAAAAATGGAGATATGGAACTACAAAAATATATGACATTGAAACGGACAAAACTTTTAAAGAACTGAGAATCTGCCGAGCTTCATGAAAGCTATTCATGGATTCATGGTATGTGAGCTTCGAAAATAATTCAAAACATTAAAAAATCAATATGAATACTACAATATATTTGTTTTTTTTTGTAAACAGCATCCACAACTATGAATAATCTAGGTCTCACCAAAAACTCTGTAGTCGCTTTAGAAGCACATGTTTTGGGAAAGAAAGTTTTTGGCTTTCTGAATGAGAATGAGAATGAGAGATTCTCTCATCCATTTTTTTTGTATCAGATGGAGTAGTAGAAAGCCAAAAACTTTCTTTCCCAAAAAATTAATCACTCCTAAAAATATAACCCTTTCAAATCAAGCACATGTTGTTGAATCAACAGAATTGCAAGAAACGTCTAGCCAGGAAAAAGTCTGGTAAACATTTTTCTATTCAACAGATAGTTACCAAAGTTTTTGAGGTTCAGATATAGAGATTTTGGTCAGACAACTTCCCTGGAAGTTGTCTGATCATATATAAAAATTTGGCACTGGAATTAATGACTTGTGAAAAATAGTTGAGTGTGGAAGTGAAGAAAATAGTGCCAATATTATGACATGACATTTTGTTTGGTAACAATATTTCTCACTTTTTCTCCACCATAGTCACCAATTGAAATAACATTCAAGGGAGCTCCTACGGAAGCCCGTTATGAACTTTTCCGAATCAAAGTTTGTAGCATCATTCAAAGCAGTGATAAAATGAAAATGAACTATGAATTTTCACAGGAAGGCAAGATAACTATCATTCATTCATTGCTCTTCCCACAACCTCGTGAAAATAACTTTTATGACGAGACATGTGAATGAATAATAAATATGAATTCGGTGCTGAAATAACCTTTCATTTTGTAGGTATAGTCGAAGCAACCTTTAATGTGAATACTTGAAGCTATCAGCATCTCAAAGGCCAAAATAACCAATATAGAGAAATAATGCCGCTGCGAACTAGTCCACGTGGACTGAATAATTGGCGGTTCGTATTGGATAATTTATACTAACCAAGTTTTTTGATTGACAGAAGAGTTATAAAATTAAATTTGAAGTCATGTTACAGTGACGAATAGAATGTGGGGATGAGTATCGCCGTTGTGTCGTCAATGTTCAGTTCAGGAACTGATCGCGATTTGAGTGTTGAAATTCGATATTGGAGCAGTTATAATTACTTGGAATTTTTGTTATCTGTTTGAAATGTGGCGTCCTTGGACAAGTACTAATAGTAATAACGAGTGACATAACAACGCAGACATTTTCCTGTGTAGCGATGGTGAAAAATGCGAAAAAGAGATACCAGTGAATAAGATTCGGATGCATTTGCATATTGACACACAGAGAGTATGTGCCAATGTATATAAGAATCTATATCTCAAGGTTGGTTTCGAGGGAGACAAACTGTTACAAGCAACATCCGATTTGACTGAAATTCCTTTCTCAACTGTAAGTAAAATAGTCAAAAACAAACCTATTGAACACGCGATGTGATACGGGATTACCAAAACCTTTAGATGTTCATCTAATAAAGTCATTGAAAAAAACAATATACGACTGTTACAAAAGCAATGAGATTCCTACAACTGAAATCATAAGGAAGAAATTGAATACTTCCGGCCATAACGTGAGCTGTTGTGACAAAACTCTTCAGAATTGGATGAAGAAACTAGGATTTAGATTCAAAATAATAAACAAACGTCAAGCAGTTATGGAAAGCAAAAGAATAGTGGAATTACGTAACAAATACTCAGAATAAATAACTAAATATAGACAAGAACAACGCCAAATTTTCTATTTGGACGAAACTTGGTATGACACGAACGACACAGTTACGAAAGGGTGGACTGATAGTTTAAGAATGTGTACGCCTAACATGCCTGCAAACAAAGGATCGCGACTAATCATTGTGCATTGCGGGGAAAGTAAAGGATGGGTTCCGAATTCTTTGAAATTATGTGGAAAAAACTTGAGGACTGCAATGTTGACTATCATAAGAACAAGGATGCTAATATTTTTGGGAAATGGTTTGAGAACACATCGATCCCAAATTTGGATGCGAATAGTGTAACAGTTCTTGACAACCCGACAGCTCATAAAAATACAGAGTAAAAATTCGAGGAAAGATGAATTACAAAGTTTTTCAATGAATAAAAATTTGTAATTTGAAGATAACTATACCAAAAACCAACTACTTGAAGTTTCACCAACAAAAACATTTGAGAAAGTATATGCCCTTGAGAGTATTGCTGAAAAGTATGGAAACACCATACTGAAACTTCCCCTCCCCCCATTTTTGTGTTTTCAATTCCATCGAGTTGATTTGGGGAAAATTGAAACAAACCATCAGGCGTAAAAATAATTTTCCAAAATTTGATAATAAGGTAATAGAGCTAGTTGACGAAGGAGTATCTAATATTACCGATGAAGACTGGCAGAAAAGGATTAACAAAGTAATTTTATGACGAGAGTGAAACAGAGAATATGAAGCGATCGATTTTATATATTCGTGAGTAAGTAGTATTCAGAAGTATTTTCAATTATCACTCTATTATTTGAATCCCTACTTTCTCACTCATCTATACCGTGTGACACAGACTTATGGTACACCCACTTTTTCTCCTTTATTTCTCTAGAGATATTTCTGAAACTGGAACATTGAGTATGCTCACTAGACGGCACTTTTTGAAATATTTGTAAAACAAATTCAATTTCCGACTTTTCCGGAAATGACAACAACTTTTGATTTTCAAATGGGACATCCTATATATTATCACAAGAACCGTTATAGGGAAGATCATGAGGAATCCAACGATACCAGGTTTGATGGTGTTATCTCTAATGACTACGGAGATATCGCCATTTATTTTATACATAAGCTCAATGAGTAGGACAGAGAAACTTTTTCTGGAGGGTCCATCCAACTCCCTTTCTCTCACATTCATTGAGCTTATGGATAAAATAAATGACGATATTTCCGTAGTCATTAGAGATAACACCATCAAACCTGGTATCGTTGGATTCCTCATGATCTTCCCTAACCGTTCTTGTGATAATATATAGGATGTCCCATTTGAAAATCAAAAGTTGTTGTCATTTTCGGAAAAGCCGGAAGTTGAATTCGTTTTACAAATATTTCAAAAAGTGCCATCTAGTGAGCATATTCAATGTTCCAAGTTTCAGAAATATCGCTAGAGAAATAAAGGATAAAAAGTTGGTGTACCATAAGTCTGTGCCACACGATATAAACGTGTGGCACAGGATTGATCTCAGCCCCTTAAATATCTAAAGTTACTGGACTAATCGTCTATCAACACTTACCTTCATGGCATAGTACTTAATTGCCAAAGGTTGGACGGTCTCCTGAAAATTATTAATCGCCTGCGTTATGATGAGCATTGTCTGCAGTTGACTTCTAAGCATGTCCATGTCTCTGACGATGAACGCGATGTAGAAGAGTGACAGGAAGTTGTTGACGAATTCGAATAGAACAAGCTTTGTCACCCTATGTCTCTCGTATTGCGACTGGGTTCGGTGATTCTCTAAAAGCATTCGTGAAATATTCAGATCTTTATAAATTATGCGGCAGTTTGAATTTAAAGTTGAATAAACTGAAGCGTTTTTAAGGGAGAGAGGAAATGTGAAACATCCCACTTTTCAATATGCATTATTTATGAGTCCATTCAGTCGGATGTGGTTTTTCAGGAGGATTAGTTTTTGAAGAAAATGGTTACGAGGTTTGTTACGCGTTTGATGAAGAAAAAATGTTATTACCATATTTTCTCATTTTGCCGCATTCAAAAAACGGATTTCATCCCAACTCACTTATAATGCAGGGATCGACAAGTAGTCTTACGGGGGTCCGGATTCTGTGGGAAAATTTTGACGAGGTCCAGAAAAAACAACTGATAAGTGCTACCTAAGTATTATTATGGTTTCAAATCAAATTCTGAATTATAAAACACAAAACCTAAAATTAATGTGAGAAATTACATTGACGGTCTTGATCCAGTTTTTTATAGTTTGTTTCTCGAGATGAACAGCAAATTCGAAGTGTGTCTTCTAGGTGGGCGTTCGTTTATCTCGAACGATATTTGTTTTTCTAAAAATTCATCTTTGTAAGCTAAACATAGTGGCCAAATTTATAGCTAGTTTCTTGCAATTTTCATATTTTTCTGGGACATGTTTGGACCAAAATTCTTTAGTGGATATTGTTTTATACATTTGCAAAGACGCATCTTCTTGCAAATCATTTATCTCTATTAGAAGTGATGTCCATTCTGCTGCTACATCAAATTCAAATGGCGATTTGAGAAACGGATAGCTCGGCCATCTCTGCTAAGTCTTGGATTCTTGTAGCAACTTCGTTCCTGAAATCGGCCAGAATGTCTTCTTCAGGGTTCTGTTTATATTCAAGAAGTGTCGGAAAATGAATGAATTCTCGCCTTACAATATCTTTTTCAAAGATATCCAGCTTGCGACGAATAGCAGACACGCTTTGTATCAAATCATATATTAATTTTCCATTTCCTTGTGATTCTGTGTTGAGCGCATTTAAATATTTCAACGTATCTAAATTTTACAAGAAGGTTACTTCTTTTATCAGTAGGAAACGTTCACTAATTTGACATTTACTTAGTCAAAGAACATTGTTGTGTTGCAGTAAGTCAGAAGCGCTGAATCACATTCAGAAAAAAACTACTTGAAATGTCGGTGCTGAAGAGCAGAATGAGATCTCATAAAATTAATAAAATTGAACAAGCTGTCCATCATTTCTTTCAGTGTAGCACTAAGTTTTCCAGAAAGGGCTTCCTGGCGAATTATGAACTGATAAGATGACCTGAGTTTTTATCCCTGATTCTCTTTACTACACCTTTTTCTTTACCAATCATTGCTGGCGCCTCATCAGTTGGGAGCGACACCATTTTAAGATAACTAGCTATATATCTATATCATATATTCGTTTTTCGTGTATTACTTCTCGCTGATAATGAAATACTTTGAAATGCAGCGACATCTTTTAATTCTTCAACATACAACTCCTTCACCATTTCAGAATCTGAAAATGGTTTCTGGTGTTTATTAAGCGTCCAGCATACACGTAACGCTGCTTCTGTGGATTTTTCTTGCTCGCTCATGCAACAAATCAGTAAAATCAGGTTTTCTTTGTAAGAACTGAGATATGCTTGAAGTTTTTTTTCACTGCCAAGAGAAAAGTTTTTGTGAAATTGCGGATGTGTTGTTTCGTAGTGTTGCTTCAAATTGCCACTATTAACAAGAGCGACAGTTGTATTGCTTATAAGGCACACTGGAACCGCTTGAGGCCTATCATGCAGCGTAAAACAGTATTATTCAGTCAATTCTGCCAGAAACCTCCTATTTTCACTGTACACTTTACGCCTTCTAGGATCCATTTTAGCGTAGATACGAAAATATTATGAAAACGCGAAAAATCACAAAACAAATGAGAATGGTTGCTCCGCGGTTTGCGCTGCGACTGACAGTCCGCTTGTGTCGCAAGTACGCACACACACACACACACACATAAACACAAACACACACACAGGGTAGATAGGAAACTAATAAAACCATATCAGTTCTAGGTACTTGTAAAACAGGTTGAATAGGCGACTTGAAAAAAATAAGTACATACCAAGTTCAATTATATGTGGTTCAAAAATATTACTTTAATGGATAATGGTATAGTATACCTCATCTGTGTAGGAATCGTGTTAGGAATCACACGTTAAAAGGTAAGACCTCGTTAGTCCTCAGCTCGCACAAGTTTCTCAACTTCTGAGAGTTGTCGTTCGTATGGGGGCGGCAGCTGATTAACGGAAAAACAGATTTTAAACAGACAGATTTATACTTGGTATATAACAAATAACAATATTTAGTGGTCCTAGGTTCAACCTTTAGCGGTCCGCAAACGGAACTCGGTCCGCCTATTGCCGACCATTGTTATAGTGTATTCAACAGAAAATTAGTGTTTCAATTTTCAACATGAGCTCCCGAAGTGGGGCGTGCGTTCTAACCCCACACCTGACACCATATTTTGTTCAAAATCAATGTTTTCCATGATAATGAAATGAATGAAATTTTTGTAATTAGTTATAAAAAGTTGCCATTTTGGAGGATTCCAAACATTTGAGAGACTCAAAGGTTCAAAATATCATAGTTGATGGCTTACAAAACTGAGTTGATCATGATAAGCCATTTGATTTGTTAAATCCACACGGGGTGTTCTGTAGTCGAAATTTCACGTTGAAATGTATCAAATGTATCAGGACTAGCGTTGTAGTTTGTTCATACAAAGAGTCCAGGACAATTTAGTATAGTCCCATAAGAGAAAACAGCTCTGTCGCTGATACTCACCCCATTCTGTGAGGTACGTTGCCAATTTCCTATAGTAAGCATTAACGACGGCAACAATAATGGAATATACGATACTAGGGAGCATGACATAATCCGCATATCCTTCATTTTTCTTAAAGTAATCTTCTGCCCAGAAAGATATCAACATGAGGATGAAAGCCATCACCATACAAAGAACAACTATAGGTAATGACACAGCATACATCTGCAACAAAAAACTAAAATGTAGAAAGTGTCAAAAAATATGATCAGACAACCAATTATTGATATAATTCACGAATGAATATCATAAATGAATCGGCTGTCATTCTGCTTGGTGAGTATGATGTTCTTGTCGGCTTCAATGTTGTGTCCTTGTTCATCAACATCCCACTAGAAGAGTCTTCGAGGGAGCTAGCCTACTTGTTTTCTAGTGATATCGTCGGACTCTTCAGATCATGTCTTACGGGGAGTTCTTTCAATGGAGGAAAAAATTCTATGAGCAATTAGATGGCGTGGCGATGGGAAGTCCACTTATTCCAGTGATAGCCAACTTCCTCATGTAACGTTTTGAAGAGAAGTCAATCGAAGGCTTTGAGTTAAAACCGACCTTGTGGCTACGTTACGTGGATGACACCACATGGGAGAGACGCTATAAATCTGTTCCTAGACCACTTGGAGGCGCAACACTTCGGCATCTAGTTCACTATGGAGACTGAACAGGACCAGCAGATATCATTCCTAGATGTACTCATCAAATGATGTGGTGCTCGACTAACCAGTACCGAAAACCCACGCACACGGATAGGTAACTGAATGCACTATCAAACCACCACACCAGTCAAAATATCGGAGTTACCTTTACCCTAACTGAACGGGCTCGATTAATATGTGAACCAGAGCATCTAGAGGAAGAACTAAGACTTCGGGATCGAGTAAATACAGTGTACCCGAGATCAAGAAGGCTATGAAACTGAAGAGTTTCATGGTTTAAAAAGGAGAGGAGGCTCAAGAGGTTGTACGTGCTAATCCACCATATACCCCAGGATCGCAGACAGAATTGGAAAACTTTTGGGAAAACACAACATTGAAACGGTTTTGGAACCTACCAAGAAGATACAACAAAGCCCCAGGTCGGCTAAAGACAAAAGAGACCCACTATCAGTAGTAGAAATACACAGTGTGTAAAAGTCAAATGGAATAAATTCATTATTTCGGTTACTGTACATATTTTTAAAAAATCCCGAAACGCATTCAACGTAAAAATTCCACTCCTACCACCCATTTTTCAAATGGAAAGTATAGGTTTATGATATATCGTTTGAAAGTTATCTTCATTCTCTATTAAAAAATGTTATCGCTTTCAAGTTTATTGCAACAATTAAGATGAAATGTAATGCAAAACGTAATGAAATGTAGATTACGAAAAGGAACTATAGATGTTATCAGAGCAGATCTTCAAAATGTTCACCGCGAACGTCTTGGCAACATCCTGATCCAAAATAAAACTGTCTTCTAACATTATTTAACATATCAGGCGTGACAGACCTAATCGCAAGTGTTATTCGTTCTTTTGAGTCATTCAAATCTGAAGGTTTAGTTTTGTAAACATTACCCTTTACATATGCCCATAAAATAAATCTAATGATGAAAGATCAGGTGATCGCTCTGGCCATTCAATTGATCCTCGCCTCCCTATCCATCGATTGGGAAATATTGTATCGAGGTATTGCCGAAGTATTAACTTGGTAATGTGGTGATGTACCACACTGCTGAAACCATATCGTATTCACTGGAACTTGAGGGTTTCCTGGATCAGGATATAAAGTTGCTAAACTTGGAATGATATCATTTTGAAGTGGTCAAATAGTTATCTCCATTCAAGTTGCCCTCAATGAGAAAGGGACCAATGATACGGTTTCCTACAATCCCTGCCCAAATATTAACCTTTTGAGGGTATTGCGTGAGTTCTTCTCCCATTGAGGATTTTCCGTTGACCAGTAGCGACAATTTTGCCGATCAGCATGACCGTCAAGAGACAAAGTACACTCATCAGAAAACATAACATCATCTAATTGGATGATATTGTTATACAACATGTTCATTATTTGTTCACAAAAATAAATTCGTCTATCAAAATCGTCTTTCACGAGCTCCTGAGCGGGTATCATTTTATAGGGATGCATTTTATTTTCTTTCAATGTTTACTATCGAGGTATGGCTAACATTGAATGTAGTGGATGCCTGTCTACTCGATATATGTGGATTTTCCTCACACTCAAGCATCACATCTAATTTGAATTAATCACCCATTGCATTGGCAGCTGCTTTTTTATTTGCTCCACATGACCAAGCTCGCGAAACTGCTTTTCTATTTTGGTTATTGTTCCTTGAGATATGGGCGGTAAATTAAGAAATTTCTCATGAAATAGGCGAGATACTTTCTGTTGTGTTCGGGTTTTATCTCCGTAAACAATCATTTGTAAAACTGTTATTTTATTAATTTCCGTTAATCTGAACATTTGTCAGACTTGAAGTTAACGAACTTTAAACTCAAAATAAAATACTAACAACTAATGTTGTAACATACAAAACAAGTTGACAAGGAGTTTTAAACGAACGTTGCAACGGAAATTATTTATAGTTTTTTGAAGGATACCATCTAAAAATAACATTGCTATGGTTTTTGCTTACTTTCTCATTATGAATACCTCAATAAGAAATTTTGAGAAGAAAGCGAGATTTCGAGAATAAAGTCGAGTTGAAATAAAGAATAGGGTATGGAACTATCACGGATATTTCGTACAATGGAGCCAAAGTAATAACAAATGATTTTTCTATGCATCTGAGGAATAATCGACATCGGTCCTCATTTCACTCGCCCATTGAACAGTTCTTGATGAATATCCTCACTTTATATAAACTATTGTTGAAAAATTAATCCCCAACGGTCATTATGAAATATCTGGCCATGATTATGTGGTTTCACAGTTTCAGTCGAATTTACAGTAAACTCCCTAACGCAAATAATGTTGGGTGTTTCGTAAATACTCACTTTGGTATAAGTTAGATACCGAGGGCTCTGCGGTTTAACTTTGCCCGTGATTGCGTCGATCCCCATTGTACCCCGGAAGTTGGGTCTAGGCTCATCCATACTGGTCATTCCTATGGTACCCCATTTGAAAGCTAACTCGTTGCTATTCCTCTTCCATATCTGAAATATACGAAAATACATAAATCTGATAACATTCTAGAATACTCTCTTCATTGACGTATAGAAGAAAACTGATTTCAGTTTTTACATATGTACGATGGATTACCTGGTTCAAATACAAAGATAAAATGATAGAATAGCCAATATATGATCACATGATGCATTATTATTTTTTCAATCGCCTATATATTGAGTCGATAACGGTTTATAAAATAATGATTGAATGATATTTCCACAGCAGAAACTAATAAGTTGGTTGATGAGCTCATTATACAACATGTACCCAAACCCCGTTTGAAAGATCATGTAGCAATAAAGAAAGTTGCAGTCAGCTCTAAAGAAAACAAGAAAAGTACATCAACTTTTCTGATTCAGGAGTATCCGAAGAGGAAGTGCAAGGATTTTCAATAGTCAATATGTGGTTACACAAGTGTTTTTCATAGAAAAGAGGAAGAACTTGCTAGTACATACAAAATATCATCCGAAGCCCATCAGGATCTATTCTATATTTGCATCATGCATTTGAATTTGCCTCCCTGATTCGTATGTGCAAATTACTTCCAAACTGGTGAGCAAAAATGGCTGGTAGGTCTAGATTTTCCTACTTCAAAATTGAATTTGATTGCTCCGGGTGAATATTAGAAATATGGTTTTATGAAGCGACCTTCTGAATTACCGCTTTGTAAATCAGATAGTTCAGCTATTTTGTGGGCTACCAGGAAAGAATTGATGAGTTCTTTGAAAGTTACCAAAAGCTGCTCAACACACATACATTCACTGCAATATAAATTCATAATTTTGTTGATTGTGGTGTGACTACCATCATGTAATCAATTATTATGGTAACACAAAAGGAAAAGAGGTAGGTTGGTCAAGTCGCTGAAGGGAAGCGGAGGGATCTGCTTATGTTTATAGGTATAATCAGTGCTCTAGGCAATATCAATCCACGAGTATATGTGGTACAAAAGATGAGAAAGTCCCCAGATTATATCACTAGCGTACCAACTTTTGCTCTCATTTTAGGCAACAAATAGAGTGATGACCAAAAAACCATTTGTATCCAAGAGAAGTTCCATATTGCTCATAATTTATGAATGTGAGTCTCATATATTGTTCGCAACTACCCAAATGTACAAAGACTCAGGAATATTTCTATCATCTATTTCAGTAGTCGCCAACCTCTTCAATGTGTTGAACTACTTTGTTAATTTTGGAATAAACAGCGAGCTACCCACACGGAAGCCACGTAACGCAACGTAAATGAAATAATCCACAGTTAATTTATCATAAAATGTATTTATTTTACTATTTAACTGGTCTCATCACTGTATTAGAAGAAAGTTGCATAGATTTTACAGCTGAAACTATCTCGTCTTTATTTCTAAAGTTGGCAAATAACGAATCAGCAGCTTCTAAAAACGCCTGTTCTATCATTTCCCCGTCTTCATAAGGTTTCTTTTTTTTGTGCAATCATCTGGGACACACGCTACGATGCTTCAGTTGCAGCCTCATTTTTGTCGACTGTTCTTAAAAATATTGATTGTTGTCCAATTAACTGCTTTTTTAACTGTTTTAGTTTCCCCTTGCCTGGCGGCAGAATGTTGGGGGAATGATTTTTCAAAATTAGAATGTACAGTTTTATGATGTCTCTCAATATTTCATTTTTTAGCAACGGAGACCGAAGTATTACATAACAAACAAACATTTTTATCTTTAACTTCTGTAAAAAAGTATTGTTCTTTTTGTATTTTTTAAATTGAAATCGTTGTGAGAGCTACCAGAATTGTTTCCGCGAGCTACCGGTAGCTCTGTTTTAAATCTATTTTGAAATCTGTTTTTCCGTTAATCAGCTGTCGCCCCCATACGAACGACAACTCTCAGAAGTTGAGAAACTTGTGCGAGCTAAGGACTAACGAAGTCTTACCTTATAACGTGTGATTCACATTGTAACATTAACTTCGAACTGGTAGTGATCGAAGTGATCTAGGTAGGTTATTTTCTAAGAATTGTATTGCTCTGTATATTCTTGATACCAACGAAAAATACTACAAGACCGAATAAAGATCACCGGTAGTGGTTTGAATAAATAATAATCGTGTTAGGTTTGAAGATAATTAATTTTGGAATTACTTGGCGGTGCCTTAACAGAAGTTCAAAAATAAATAAACTCAAAAGATCTGAAAAATATGAAAACGTGTACTTGTATACTGCGTGTTCCACTTTGGTTGGCTACGCTCATCCGAATCACACAGTATATGAGAAAAATGATTTCGAAGGATGGACTTGGTCGATATCTATGTGAAAAAACTCGTTTTATTCGTGAACGCTTTACCGGTTTATCACCAATCAGGTATTCCAGTTGTTATGGAACATTTTATGAGTGGACTGTAACTTTATAGGAGACGTAACAACCTAGTGTTAGTGCGGGCCAATTAGAACGACCCAGTAAAAGTACCATGCTAGGAATCACACGTTGAAAGGTAAGACCTCTTTAGTCCTTAGCTTGCACAAGTTTATCAACTTCTGAGAGTTGTCGTTCGTAAGGGGGGCGATAGCTGATTAACGGAAAAACAGAAACAGACAAATCAGGAATGATCATTTGCATGGACACCCCACCATTGCCTCTACCATCAGCCCAACCACCATCCCCATCATTCGCATCTGCAGAAATTATAAATGCGAGTGAACACATAGCTTGATATTCAATTGTTGCTGATACTTCAAAATGTAACCTTCGTTCTCGCACTCAACGGACATACCACTGATGATGTCTAACGCAGTAGCAGACGGGATTTTGCTCTCTTCAATCATGACTCTGGTAGTGGAAGTATTTGTTTTTGATTCGCTGAAGTGAACTTTCGAATGTAAAGTCCAATAAAGATATGAAACGTGCGGATGGGCGTTGTCGTGCAGCAGGATTGGACCTCTTCTGTTGATCAGTGCCGACAGCTGCTGATGTGATTTTTGGTACATTCCATAGATTTCCTCACAATTGGACTCTGCTTTGATAGTCTGGCCTGGTTACAGAAAGTTACAGTAAATCACCAGCCGCTGACCACTATTCAGTAGCCCTGGTCTTTACTTGGTAGCTTTTTCGATTTAGAGAAGTACCTGGGTGGCTCAACCACTGTTCTGAACGTCTCCTGTTGTCGTAAAGGATCCAATTTTCATCACACATGACGATCCGATCCAAAAAATGATCGTTTTGGTTGCGCAAAAGCAAAGAGGAACAGACCTCGACTTGTGACAATTTCCGTAGATCGCTCAAATCATGGAGCATCCACTTCTCGACCTTTTTGACCTTTCCAATCCGTTTTGAACCATCAAAAACCGCTTGAGAGCTGACGCCTAGTTCTTTCGCCATGTCACACACCGTTTGTGATGGATCAGTCTCTACCAGGATCCTGAATTACTGTAGGTCGACCAGTTTGGAAGCTCATGTTCGAGACTGTGATCTCTGGAACGAAATTTTGCATTGCAAACTAACGTCGAACTGGGCATTCATTAACATAGTCATTACTAAATTGTGGCAGCGCTATGGTTCAATTTGAATTCGTAGAGAAAAATTGGACAGAAAATCTCTATCGATTGATGTATATTACGACATAGTAGAATGAATATTTATTGATATATGGAGCTACAAAAACACATAACACTGAAACGGACAACACTTCTGAAACAACCTAAAACTTTGAAATAGAGCCTATTGCACCAAAGTTCTCCTTTTACGTTCCATCCTGAATCTCGTGACGAGATTCTTGTTTTAAATAAACAGAATGTAATCTCAGCTGTTAACCTCTCGTAGCTAAGCGGCAATAAAGGCCGAGAAGCAATAAAGCCAAGATGAGCTTCAGGAGAATAATCCCGCCTAAGAGCTCATTCCAGCGATATTATTGCATTTTAACTATTTATACTTTCCTTGAAGTATTCAGTTATAGGAGAAGCAATGAGATTTAACGTCATTTCCGTTTTTCCATCGAAAAAGGCCAAACCGTTAAGAAGAGGAAGCCGATAAGGACAGCGTTCTCGCCTCGCGCGAGATAAAAATCTGACACACCATTCCGAGATACTTCCTTCATAATCTGCGGGGGTTAATCTGCGAAAATAATTTGGAGAACGTCTCGAGAGCGATCGAAGGGGCTTTTGTGTAGTTAATAAAGACGGCGTACTTGTCGCCACAAGGAATGGCAAGTGAAAAACGAGTTTTTCGTCGGGTAAAATTCAAGTACGCCATATAATATACCTACAGGGATTTTCCCTTTTTCACATATGAAATATAATATTGATACATACTTATATTAACAACAATATAAATTAATTGGCGCTCCGGGACGACTTCATTGATTCCAGTGGCGCATTTGCTTTTTCAGCTGCAGGAAAACACGGAAAAACCTGCAGCACCACATTATCTGAAAATCTTGATCTGCCAATGTCCTCTCTCTCATGAAATAAAATGAAGGGTGTCTTCAGACGCTCCAATAAATTCAATACATCGCCAGAACACTTCGTGACACGACTATCATCAAACTTAAACCAGTCCGTTTCGTCTTTGACTAAGGCGTAATAATGAACAGATTCAACGCCAGAACCACAGTGAAAAATGACTGCATGAATATGATAATAGTGTATACAGATAGGAAATGAACAAAACACTAATTTTGAAAGTCAATTCTGGGCTGGCCCGCCCTCAATTCCTGTCCAAAAATAACTTATTTTGTTATCGCCAACGCGAAGCAAAATACCAGGAATTAGTTATTTCTGCGAGATCAGAGAAGGCTGTACCTGTGGCTAAGCAAGTTATGTAAAAGTTTGTGAAATAATAATAACGTCTCAAATTCCTCCTTGGTTATTCGACTGGAATATATAACATTGAGACAAAATGAAAAAAAAATATGTTTATTCGGTGCAACCCAACATAATCGTGTTATTCAGTGAAATATTTTTCCTCCGTAAAACCATCTGCATATGGCTTGAGTCTGATGGAACAATTATCATGTTAT